CTCGATCCCAGGACCCTGGGATCATGACCTGAGCCGAAGGCAGACGCTTAACGGCTGAGCCCCCCGGGCGCCCCGGGCATTATGTTTCTGTGACCTGTGGTGACACCTGGTCTTTCCTTGGGCTGGTGGCAAAGGCTCCCCCCCCGCCCGCTCTGGGAAGTCTCCCCGGGGCCCCCAGGTGGTGGGGAGGCAGGCGTGTCTGGCTCTGCCAGGGCCAGGTCTCCGAGGGACCCTGCTGTCACTGCCTGGGGCTCAGTGGATGGTGCCGGGGAGGGGGGAGGCCGAGCTCCGTCCGGGTGGGGGGTGGGGGCCCCACCCTGCCGGCGCGCCCGCCTCACCTCCTCCTCTTCTCGGTCCCGCCCGCAGCCAAGTACCCGGCCCTCAAGGCCCTGATGCGGCCGGACCCTCGGCTCAAGTGGACGGTGCTGGGGCTGGTGCTGGCGCAGCTGCTAGCCTGCTGGCTGGCGCGGGACCTGGCCTGGCGCTGGCTGCTCTTCTGGGCCTACACCTTCGGCGGCTGCGTGAACCACGCACTGACACTGGCCATCCACGACATCTCGCACAACACGGCCTTCGGCTCGGGCCACGCGGGGCGCAACCGCTGGCTCGCCGTGTTCGCCAACCTGCCCGTGGGCCTGCCCTACGCCGCCTCCTTCAAGAAGTACCACGTGGACCACCACCGCTACCTGGGCGGCCACGGGCTGGACGTGGACGTGCCCACGCGCCTGGAGGGCTGGCTCTTCTGCACGCCAGCGCGCAAGCTGCTCTGGCTGGCGCTGCAGCCCTTCTTCTACTCGCTGCGGCCGCTCTGCGTGCACCCCAAGGCCGTGACCCGCATGGAGGTGCTCAATGCCCTGGTGCAGCTGGCCGCCGACGCCGCCCTCTTCGCCCTGTGGGGGCTCAAGCCCGTGGTCTACCTGCTGGCCAGCTCCCTGCTGGGCCTCGGCCTGCACCCCATCTCGGGCCACTTTGTGGCCGAGCACTACTTGTTCGTCAAGGGCCACGAGACGTACTCCTACTACGGGCCCCTCAACTGGATCACCTTCAACGCGGGCTACCACATGGAGCACCACGACTTCCCCAGCATCCCGGGCTGCAACCTGCCCCTGGTACGCGGTGGCGCCGGAGAGCGGGGGGCGTGGGGGCGCGCGGGGGGCCACAGCCCAGCTCTCTAGGCCTTGCTGATCGCTGTCTGCCCGCTGCCTCAGTTGTGGTCCCAGGGCGGGAGAGGCCTCCCCGCAACCCCGGGATAGCGGGGGCCCGGCTACAGAGTAAGGAGGTGGCTTCTGGGGGGGCAGGGGCTCGCGGGGGAACGGAAACCTGTTTGAGCCCAGGCTGGACGTCCTTGGGCAGGCCCCTTGCCCTCTCTGTGCCTCGGCTGCCCCTTCCTTAAGACGGGCCGGCATAGCCATGCTGCACGCAAAACACCTCCCCTTCCTGGCTCCCACCTCCCCTGTCCCTGCGCATTTCCCGTCACTGCCCTGCGACCCTCCAGGGCCCCCTCCTGGCCCAGAGGGGACAGGGTGGGCCCGGCCCTTTGTGACCCCAGAGGCTGGGCCTGAGCTGGAGCCGCCCTGGGGTTGGGGAATTTCTGGAGGAGGGAGGAGGGAGGGAGAGGAAGAGGAGAGGAGCTGTGGGCTGGCGGGTTAGGAAGAGCGGGGGTGACCCGAGGCCCAGGGGGGCGGGGCAGGCGTCGGAGCGCTGGGGTCTGTGTGCCTGCCCTGTGTGCACGTGTGTGCACGCCCGTGTGCGGATGCTTGCCTGTGTCCGAGTGTGCCGTGTGTACACGTGTGTGTGCGTGTGCTCGCGTGAGAGCACCTGTCTGGGTGTGCGGGTGACCCCGGAGTCCGGCCGCCGGGGGTGTGTCTGGCCCTGGCCGTGCAGCCCCCGGCCCTTGCCTCCCGCGCGTCTGCTGCTGGTGCTCCTGAGGTCCCACTGCGCGCCGGGCACCATCTCAGCCTCACCCCAGGCCCGTGCAGCGGGCGTCCTCCTTCCCCGCTGTCCGCCTTCCACAGACAAGGCAGAGGCTCAGGCAGGGGCCGGCCGGACGCGCGTGCTGTTTGCCGGCGAGAAGGAAAGAAGGGCTCACAGCTAAGTCAAGGCTCCCCGCTCCTGCCTCAAGCAGGGGGTCTGCTCTCCCGAGCCCCCATCTTCCGCTATAAAGCAGGCCCTGAGCACTGGGCGCATCCCCCTGGGGGGAGTGAAGGGCATCCCCGGCTGTTGGCGAGCGGCGGTGGGGGTGCGCATGTAGGTGCTGAGGCTGGGAGGGCTTCCGGGAGGAGGTGGGCTGAGGGTGTGGGTGCAGAGGGGGCAGGAGCAGGTGCAGAGGGAGAGGTGTGCCCCACGCCACCGGGAAATGGGAAGCACTAAGGCTGGGAGGAGGGCGATGGGGTGGGGGCCTGGTGTCCGCTGAGGCCGGAGGGGCTGGGGGGCAGGAGGGGGCAGGGGACGCTGGGCGGTGACGCCGCGTGTGCGTCTGTGTCAGTGTGCGCCCTGCGCATGCTCCCACCCAGGGTTGCGTGCACGCTTGCGTGCCCCCATGCATGTGTGTGGCAGGGAGGCGTGCGCCCGGCCGCGGCCTCTGACCCTGCCACCCTCTCTGCAGGTGCGGAAGATTGCTCCCGAGTACTACGACCACCTGCCGCAGCACCACTCGTGGGTGAAGGTGCTCTGGGATTTCGTGCTCAAGGACTCCCTGGGGCCCTACGCCAGGGTGAAGCGGGTGTGCAGGCTGGCCGAGGACCGTCTGTGAGCCCTGCTCGTGATGGGAGCCAGGGGGACCCCGCGGGCCCCCGGCTCCCCTGCTGC